AAACTTAATCCCTCAAATGTAATGTGGTATAACTCAGTTTTTCAAGTTCAACTCGGTATAACTCAATTTTTAAACTATTGACTCACAACTCGACTCCTAATTTTTTCATCATTAATTACATTTATTCTTGTCTTCCATTAATTATTACCAAATCAAAATTTATATGGATGCAAGTGTGACATCATATAATCAATCAAAAAAAAATCAAACTAACTTTTTGATAAATGAAAAAAGGGATAAAGGGTAAAAATGCCTTGGAATTTATTTAAAAAGAGTATTGCATAACTTTACCTTTTAGTTGAAGTAATGTTACCTTAGAAATTTTAATAAGGGTGCAATTTCACCCCACCATTAATATTGTCTACCGTTTGATTGTTAATTTTTTTTACCAAATGGTTTGCACATGTCAATCCCTCCCTCCCTATACACTGTCCTCCTTCCCCCCTCTTTCCCTGCATATAGTTTGGCCATGCTTTAAGTTAGCCTCCCATTTCACTCTACTTACTTCCAAATTGAAGATTCACGTTAGAATCCAAAGTGAAGGCCACGACTATAAAGGCATGTCTTACATTTAGGGATCGAGAAGCCTTTCATAGTCATTAATCTGGGAAAGCTTTTTGGGATCAACATTAAAAGCTTAGTGTGATGTCGAAATCTAGGACAACACTAGGTGGATTCAGGTTGATGATGAAGAAAGCACCAATAATGAAGAATAAAATGACGTGAACAACCACGCTGACATGGATGTCGACTATCGTTGCCACATTGCTGCTACTTTTTTGTTTTGAACTGATAGTGGCATCGGAGGAAGAGGGGGAAGGTTAAGGTTAGGTCTGACGAGATTATTACTTTATGGGTAATTAATTTTGAAAATCTCAAGTTCGTTCAAGAAGGCATCATTGCAAATAATTTGACTTTCTGGGAGAGGATACATTTGGAGCAAAAGCTTTTAGCCTTATTCTAATTTCCTATTACAGAAACAGCATAATCTATTTGAATCGATATCACCTTTTGCTTTATTTATCTCAAAACATCTATGTGATCTTTAGTCACTTGTTTAGCTATGTAAATAATCTTTTGCTTTATTTATCTCAGAACGCTATGTCATTAGGATTCTTAATGTTTGGATCAAGTTCACAAAAGTAAAGCCTAATCATGTAGGTAAATCTATAATCTGCAAAATATTCCCAAGTGAGGTTATTCATCTTGTTCCACGTAGTGTTTGTTCCATAGACCTTACAGCTTTATAAAATTCAACAGGTGCTGTACAATCAAGTTTCATTGTTTAAATGAGTTTAACAAAATGGTGGGTCATTTGGTGAGTCAACAAAGGAGCAAATGGAGAGAGAGTAAGATGTAGGGAGAGGAGGAAGAAGAGAGAGGCAAGGATTGACACATGTAAACCATTTAGTTAAAAATAATAATTAATGATCAAAACGTTAGATAATATTACGGTAGGCCAAAATTTCACCCTTTTTAAAACTTCTAGAGCAATATTGCTTCAACTAAAAAGTGCTCCCTTGAGAAAACTTCAAAGGCATTTTTGTCCATTAACTCATGAAAAAAAAGAAGAGATTATCCTCATCTTCATCGTCCATCTTCTCTATCATGTCTTTGCATCTTCTCTATCCTCACCATGCTGTTCAAATTCCTAAAATCCTAAGGGATGCTCATGAAGCTTGCGTCACTATATTATATGTATTGTGAATTAATGTGAGTGTGAATCTCATAACACTTCCTTTCCCCTCAACTTTTATGGAAGCAAGCTAAAAGAAACCCTATTCATAGTAGCATCTTCTTCTTGTTCTACTGTTCTTTTTGTCTTTGTAATTCAAATTCTTCTTCATCGCCTATATAGGGGTTCATCACTCACCCCATTCATAGTTTAGATCACTTGTCTTTTTGGTTTTTGCAACTTTTTTCTTCTTCAGTCTTCTCATGTGAACCCTATGCCCTTTTGTCCTCTTCATCCATCCTCTGTAATTGTAATCTTTTTTTCAATTTTACAAAAAATTCACGTAGAGCTAAGTTGGAAGCCCACGTCAACAATTTTAACACTATTATTAATGATTTTGGCCATATAGGATGACTCAAGAACAGGTTTTAGATGATGAGTAAAAAAAATAAAATAATAAAAAATTAAGGATTAAGTTTTAAATGAATTAAAATTTAAAAGACTAAAAAAAATTAATTTTTCCTATCAATTAATAATATATAATATATAATATATAAGAAATCACATCATTTACGAATTGAAAATAAGATTTCATGTTTGGTCACTCAAGTCACATTATTCCCATCCCATCTAACATTTATTCACTTACGTGAGAGAAAGGGAGAGAGATATTAGTTTCCTGCAATGTAATATCATCTTTAATGTATTAAATAAGTATTCCGAAACTCTTGCAATTATCATTGTGAGTTGCATGCTATAATTTTCACTTGAAAGAAAAATGTGAAGTGAACCACACCTCGTGTATCGCATGGGGTAGTACACTAGTTCTCTTAAAAATCTTTTAGGTTGCTCCAATTTCTCACGTTATTAAAAATCTTGAGTCACAAGGTATGATTTTAACTTTTAAGGGTTTTATAAGAGAAGTATGGAGTGTTTAACATGATCAAAACTTGAGCCTCCACCAAGAAAAAATGATTAATTAAATTTAAATTATAAAAATGCAATCTAGTTCAATTTTAAAAAGTTATTTCAATTTAAATTTAAATTATGGATAAGAAAATTCCTTGACAGGTACTATCATTTTTTTAAATCCTGAATTTTTTTAATGGTTAAGGTATAAAAATGCCCTCAACATTTTCACCAGGACATACTCTATGTTCTTAAGTATTTTTCAACGCAATTTCGTCTCAATATTTTTTATTTATGAACAATTTCACCCTCGTTACCTTTTGATAGCTTTGACTATTATCTTTTAGATTTTGACCATTGTCTTCCATCTGGATTGCTAGATCATTATCCACATGGGTCATTCAATTCATCTTGCTCATATGTCTCCCAACCCTCTTTCTCAAGCTTTATGTTGCTTGCTCCGGTTCCTACCATTGCCCATTCCACTACTATTCAATGCCATGTCAACTAGTTCGGCATACTTCAATGTCCCCTACATAAAACATCATCAAATCATCCCTTAGAATACTTATAGATCCTAACCATCCTTTACCTCTGCTTGATTCTCTCAGAGCTCACCCCTCCTTCCATTGTCACCAACAATGGTGTTCATACCAGATAGGTGCCTCGATGTGACACAGTCGCCACCACCAACTAGCTCTAGGTTTTCTATTTCATGAGTACAAACAGAGATTGAAGAACTTTAACAATGGTGGGTTGTTCACACTAATGACAAATTTGTTTTGGAGGAGTAAGGAATGGCAGGTTGAACTTTGATCTACTTTGTTTTGTTTTGTTTTCCTTTTCCTATCTGAACTTATTGAAATTTATGAATGTCCTTGGATGTGATATCTAATTGTGGCTCGCCTATAGGATTTGTAACTTTTCCAACTTCTCATTTGTGTCTTGTTTAAGAGAAGCATCCTTTTCATGTTTGGGAAACAGAGTATTTGCAAAAATGGCATCTAGGGCATTGGATTTGAGAGTGTCGTCATGGGTTTCATTCTTAGAGAAGCATCTAGTCGTTGTTATGGGTTTCATTCCCGCTCTTTGCTCCAACTGAGAAAGTAACTAACTTGTATTCCTAGCTTGATTTTTGTATTTTTTTGGGATGTAATTGATTTTTGTGTTTTATGTTTCATTTTGGGTTTTGCCTTGGAGATTGGATTTGAGGGTGTCATTCTGTGTCTATTTGTGTTTTTGATTTATTAGGGTTTTTTTTTTTTTGCATTATTCCTCTCTGCTCCTTGTTATCTCTTTTATTAATGGTTGGATTTTTATTTAATTTGCCAAGGTTTGTTTAATTTGTTGGGTTCTATTTTGATCAGGGGTGAGAAAAAAGGAGGAGAGATGACATGTATTTTTTTAAATTTTAAATTTTTAAAATATGTTAGTGGCTACTAGCTATACACATCATGATCAAACTAATGGTCAAAGCCTGAATTTGTTACTTTAGAGGTGATGTTGTACCTAAGTAAAAAATGTCTAATGAAATTGGGTTAAAAAGTATTTAAGAATATAGGTGCATTTGGATGGAAATATTGAAATTGAAAAAATTTTATACCTTAACCCTTTTTTAAATAAAAAAAAGGAGGGGCTAAGGGTAAGGCCATTAATTAGCGCCGAGCTTGTCTAGTCAGCACTTTTAAGCCTAAAAAAATTTAAAGTCAAACTACTATTTTAAAGTATAAAATGATAGTTTGAGCTTAAAAGGCTCTAAAATAAAAGGCTGAACTTTTTAAGCTTAAGGCCTGCCCTTTTATATATATATATATATATATTTAAAAATTTTTCTATTAAAAAAATAAATACTATGTTAATTCTAAAACCATAGCCTCATAAAGAGAAGGATATATAAAAAATTTAATATCTTTACCACGAAACTTCATAGAGAGAAGAATATAATTATATTGATGTTAATGATAATAAAAATTATCAAAATTTTGCTGATAATGCTAGCAAAGTCTAATTATTATTAGTGTTAATTTTATAATATTATTATTTTTTATTATATTTAAATTTATTATTATGTATATTAACTTAAATTTATTTTTATAGATTTAATACTACAAGTAATAATTTTTTTAATTTTAAATATTTTTTTTAAAATTTTTAAATTACAAAAAATATAGGGTCGCAGCTTTGAGTGTTTACCCGTTAGCCCTAAGAGTTAAGGTCAGGCTGGCCAACCTGAAATCATAAGATGTAATTAAGTTTTATAAGATCAGTTCATTTAAATTTTGGTTCTTTAAACGCAGGCTTTTTAGAGACGAGTCAGCCCTAATTAACCCAGGGGACCACAGTGCAACGATTTTGGTTGACGAGGATATATCGGTCAATTAATGAATCCTTGTCCGAATCCAGTACTTCTTGGGGTCAGATGTAGTCACTTAGAGTTCGCTCCGCAGTGCCTGTCTCTAAAACCCTAGCGAAGTTGGGCATAATCGCTGGCCCTCCTTTCTCCAACTCCGAGTTTCAATACCAAATATGTCGCACTTTGGAAGATCTGGTCCTCCGGACATCAGAGACACCTATTCCCTTCTCGTCCTTAACATTACCTTCCGTAGTTATCTTCACCGTTCTCTGCAATGTTCTGAATTTTCCTTGCATCTCATTTCTAATCCTTCAGCCTCGTTTTGCTTTTGCTAGGTACAACCGCTGACGACCTCTACCCCCTTTTTGACAAGTACGGCAAGGTTGTCGATGTCTTCATCCCCAGAGACCGAAGGTCTTCGCCCTTCCTTTTTTGTATTGTTCCCAACTGGGGACCCTGGGATTGCTTTGAAGATAAATGCGGGTTTTCTTATCTTTTGTAGGACTGGCGAATCACGAGGCTTCGCTTTTGTTCGTTATAAGTATGCCGACGAGGCTCAGAAGGCAGTAGATAAGCTTGATGGTTATTTTCATTCTCGAACTAGATAATATGTAGGACTTTAGCAAGTTTGGGACTTCTTTTCGTGCTAATTTTCATTAATTGTCAGGAAGAGTGGTTGATGGAAGAGAAATTATGGTTCAATTCGCAAAATACGGACCTAATGCAGAAAAAATGTAAGTTGTTCTATGGTCAACGTCAAAACATCAGGTTGGCTAGCAAAGCATCAAGTTTAAAATGAACTTCTTTAAATGACGGCTTGTTCTCTTTTTGATAGTTAAAACTCTGCTTGGTCTACATTCTGCGAGAAATTTGTTACCTCTATATCTAGCAAATATATTTTGGTTGGTTATTGGTATAATCAGCTAACTTAATTTTTCATAAATATTAGTCAAAAGGGCAGGATAGTGGAAACATCCTCCAAGCCAAGAGGGAGGTCAAGAAGCCGCAGCCCTCGTTCAAGGTAAGGAGCCTTCTTACAAGATGCTTCCAACTATTTAATGAGATGAGGGTCTTTGATTTAGAATGATATCTTCTGTGTAATTAGCAGGAAGTTTTGTAGAGATTTATTGCCAGGGGTCACCAAGGATTAAAACAGTTTTGCCCTTCATAGCAGAGACGGATATGGTGGGGTGTTCTTGTTTTTTTTTTTTTTTGGGATAAACAGCTTTTTGGAAACAATTAAACAATTGAACGTTTAAAAAAATAGATTGTAGCCCCAATCCATATAATGTTTGCGATTTAACCACCCCCCCTCCAAAAAAAAAAATCAAATTCTAGATCTGTCCCTGCTTCATAGTTACATGTTATGCTTGTGGCGTGTCCTCTGAATGTGTAGATGGTTCTCCCTTTTCATTTGCTACGCTATATCCACATTTGGTGTTTAAACCAGCTATGGCTTCCGCCCCATTAGGCTTTGTATAATCTTCCCCAGGCTCTAGTATGAGGTCTTACTGTCATAGTTGATTCCCTTTGTTCTGTAGGAGTTATGTGTTTCTCGTTTTATATCTTTCTTCCTATAGTTATTAGTATTAAACAAGAAAGAAGGTTGTATTTTGCAACATAGTAAATCATAAGACAAAGAATTAAATATACTGTGGGCATGCATAAAAAACTATATTAAAATTGGGCTGCAGACTAGTTACCTGAGCATTTTGTGCATTTATGTCTTGGTACATAGAGAAGGGTCATGCAAGTTATATTCTAGTTGCCTTGAAAAATTGTCTAATCAGTAGTGGTCAATTGCCAATATCCTTTGTATCTAACTATCTATAGAGGTCCATGAATGCGCTTTTGACCATTTTCTCCCTCAATCTTGGGAAATTATGCCTGGTCTCATGTAAGAGTAGCTAAGATAGGGCTGCCATATATTTAAATCCATCGTGGCCGAATTAAGAGGATGATAAAGTCTATTTTATTCAGTGAAAGATTTAGATATCTTTTTACCAACACAAAGTGTTGGCTTGGGTTGTGGTTTTTTGAGTATTGTTCTTTGAACTGAACTAGCATGGCCCTGTTGGACTGGTAAATCGGTTATTAAACTAGGCTGGATCTACAATCAAATTGTGTTTGCATTTGAACTGGCAAAAACCAGTCTTATCTGGTGTAATTTTAATAATAAAACAGTATGACACATAATTTAGTCAGTTAGGTTGGTGAACAGGCTGATCTGTATTTTCCTTCAGATATTGCAATAAGTGAAGAAAGGAACAAATGTTGCATTATGCTGCGGTAAATCTAAGGCAACATATTGTTTGATGTTGATGTTCATTTTTAATTGTGCATGCAGAGTAACTAATTTAGGGAATGGACACGTGTTATGACTTGGAAGTTTTGTCCTGCATTTTATTAATTTATATTCACAAAGCTTTGTTTTAGTGAATGGTTTTCCTTGTGACCTAGTAAGCTGTTCTGCTTACCGGGCAATGCCCATTCTCATTATTCTTCCTGTTTTGGAGCCGGACTCAATTATAGTATTTCATGCTTCCAATATCATGCCTAATCTGTTACGCTTATAGCCAGTGTTTCATATTCGTGAATGTTTGCGTGCATAATGGTGAAGAGGTCACTGTTTCATATTCAGTTTACACAATAGCTGATGGAAAATAAAATGTTCAGGCATAGGGATGAATATAGAGACAGGGACTACAGGAGGAGAAGTCGCAGTAGAAGTAGGGAAAGATACGATCGTGACAAGTACCGTGAAAGGGACAGGGATTATCGTCGCCGGAGTAGGAGCCGCAGTGCAAGTCCTGATCGGCATAAAGATCACAGGAGAGGAAGAGATGATGAGGATAGAAGAACTCGAAGCAGATCAGTTGATAGGTTTGAATCTTGTGCTACTTATTATTCTTTACATTTTTTTCATCACTATCTTGTTTCTGATATACATTTGCGTTTGCCAAAGTGCATCACCTGCTCGACATGGCTCCAGTCCTCGTAGAAGCCCATCTCCTCATAGGAGGTCTTCTCGAGATGAGCGGCATGATGAACAGAATAGTCATGAGCAATCACCTACTCAGAAGGATGTTTCACGGCGTGATCGTCCTAATGATTCCCGAAGCCCGTCTCACAAATCTGATGCTGATGTAAGATCCTGACAATTTTATGCTCCCTTATTTTGGGGTAGACATTTTTTTTCCCTATCTGATTCAAGCTTCTTGGTGAGCCATCTGAATTGGGCATTATGTTTGTAGGAATGATGGAGTGGCTGCCTATTACAGGGATCTATTGGTGGCCTTATGATGAGTTCTGTAATCAGTTATATGGATGAAGTCACTAAATGATGAATGTTGTGATCTGCATCTTGGATTAATGACGTTTTTGCATGGACTTTTTTGGAAGGTTCATATCCTTGTTGGGTTTACAGTCTTCCATTTTGTGGCCTTTCTGTATTCCGATATTCTTTTTATCTGATACTCTATTAAGTGTTCAATATAAGCATTAAGAATTTGCAATCCCTCCCCTTTTTTGGCTGAAGAGTGAAGGGTTCCTACAATATTTGTCACTTGGTTTTTTAACATTTCTTGACTTATATTTCCGTTCTCTATTCATCTCCTTATATTGATTAGTTTAGTTTTCAATCCTGCAGTTCTGATTACAAACTTAAAACAATTTCTTATTATAACTCTGTAGCCTGTGTTCGAGAAGGTTGAATGTTGCTGTCTTAGAGATGGTGCACGAACCGTCTGGGGCATTATGCCAAATTCTTGTGTAATCCGGGTTGCGTTGTCCAGTGTCGTACCAACCCTTTGGTATTGGAATTGATTCTTTCAAGATGACTCAGCGGATGCAGCTGCTTGCTTTTGTGCCGGACTGCCCGACGATGTTGTAATTTTCCTCTGTTGAAGTCATTCTTATGCGACTGGGAACTGCCCTGCCCGCATTTGCTGTTGCTAATGGCGTGATGCGTGCCTAAAGATGACCTTGTAGGAGTCTGGTCCATACATATTAGGAAAAATGATAATAAAATTCTTTTGAATTGTGTTAATGATATTTTAGTCTATTAAAATGCTATAATTTTTCTGAAGTTTTTAGGATTTTTTTGTCATTAAAGAATTAGTGTAAATGGTCAAATTGTCCTTAATTTAAGATTGTGAATTTCTGTTGATTTTTTGTGATTTTAAAAAATGTGAATCTTAGAACAAAATTTACAAAGAAATGTTGTGAATTTGCAAGTTGATGTTGAATTTTTGCTATTTCAAGAAAAAAATTGTGAATTTTAAAACAAAATTTATGAATGGTAATTTATATTTAAATTAAGGACAATATGATCATTTATATTAATTTTTTAATAACAAAAGAATCCTTAAAAAATTTTAAAAAAATTATAACATTTTAAAGAGAAATTAAAATGTTATTTTTATAATTTAAAAGAATTTTATTATTATTTTTCTTAGATATTACACAGGATAATTATTTTTAGGATTTGCATGTTTCTACTCTAGGTTTTGGTAAATTGAGAAATTCTCCAGAGCATCGTTTGAGTAGACTTTGATAGCCTAATTTATTCAAGGCAGTAGAACGTCAACCTTTTATGTCTCCTCTTTTTTTCCAAGTCAGTTGAGGCAAACTATTGGATTCAGCTTGTGTCCCCTTTGTTTGTTTGTTTTTTTTTTTTTTTTTTTGTGGTAGTTTAAAGCTTGATTTTATGTTGTACCTCGTTCTGTTTAAAATGAAAAAAAAATGTTGAATAAGAAGTAAAGAAACTTAAATTGTGAAGATTAAATTTGGACAGGGGATGTGAGGTGCATATATAAAATCTGTAATAAAACGGAGATACGCTCATGTAAGATGTGCATAGCGAACCCTTCACGGCCTATTTTCACTTCCATTCTCTGCTTAATTATAAAGTCACTCTCATCCAATTGTATGCTTCTTTATCAGGATATTGTCGTCGTCCCCTCAGTGCATTGCATCATAAACATATTTTACACTGGTTCATTCCATGGCCTCTTGTCATCAGTAAATAGATATATATTGTTTCTTCTAACTCCACATGAATCTCATCGTTGAAATCGGAAACACGGAATGCCTTGCTGAGAATTCTTATCGTTATAGGAGACGATAATGCTTAAGCTGTACTATGATCCCGCCACCGATGTGCTGGTTTCATGGGTTCTGTGTTGGCAAGTTCTTTGACCTTGTGTACTAATCTTATCAGGTGGGATTGATTTGTTGCTTCATGGCTGGCTATTTCCGTCAATGATTACGAAATTAATGCTTTAGTTTAAAAAAAAAAAAAAAACTTTTGGTTGCTTTGGATGATCGGCCCTTCTTGACCCAATGTCCCCCAACCCCCCGCCCCACGCCAACCAAAAAAAAAAAAAAACCCACCACCAAAAAAGTACTTTTTGAATATTTATATTGAAGCATTGGCATTGAAGTTTTATTTCATTTATTATAATTCATCGAACAGCTTGCATATTTAAGCCAAAACAAATACATTATCGAATGGCACGACAGGGTCCTTCGGGAATGTAGTTTTGGGTACCACTTGCTAGTTAAATATATTTGATGCACAGAGATTCCAAAGATTAAAAGCCAATTGCAACGGAGATCTTGAATAGTGCCAATCTCTTCGTGACGGTGGACATTGTGAAATCAATCGTTAATGGAAAGTGATCATATGCCCTTTGATGATTGATTCTGGCCTGCCTAGCATCCCAAACTCAAGAAATACAAACAATTATTTTTCGTAAAAATCTAACCATCCAGTTGATATCAGCCTATTAATATCACACGATATAGCAAATTCAGTCGCATCATGAATTTGAAAGATGCAATTTAATTGGCACAGGCAGGCAATATCTAGATATAATTATCTAAATAATGAAGTTTCAGAAAGAGATATCCAGGATCATGTACATAACAATGATCAAGAAACTGACAAAAAAGAAAAGAAAAGAAAAGAAAAGAAAAACAATGATCAAGAAACTTGAAACACCATCTCCTAATCCATAGGACACCACAACAAGAAGACAATACAAGATGCATCAGCACCATACAGAAGTATACCTGGTTAACCAGCCTTTCCAAGTTCCAACTTTCGGACAGATCATATGAGAGGCTTTAATTGCGAAATTCTTCCCAAGTAGATCAGACCGTGATTCTAATAGGCGTACATACACATACTAGGTAGTGGCTAAGTTAGACAATGAAAGAAGCTTTAATTAGGAGTGATCTTTAAAACAACAACAGTTTTTGTCGGGCTACCAGACATCACTTCTTGAGTAGATTTCCCGAGAAAATTCTCTTGCAATACGGGCTGGTGCGCAAGATTTTGTAAGGACGTACTGCTTCAACCAAAGAAGTGTGAAGTGAACCCTGCATCAGAAATTAAATAACACGCAGGTGAGATGAAACCCCATGCTTGACAATTCTAAAACTAGCATTTAAGTTGCAAACTGAGCTTTAGCCATTAGCCATATTGTATTGTAAACCTTTGTTACTGCAAGAGCAGACTGAATGACATAGTTGGCATATGGATCTTGCAACAACTGTTCGAAGTGAGGTGAAGACAGCAATTCTCGGACGATCCTTGATCTGCTCTCTCCAACATGCTTAAGGCATTTTTCGACCACATGACTGCTAAATTTTTGCGTTGACAGATTTACGTAGTTCCCTTTGAACTGAGAAACCAGCTTGGCTGAGGCAGTTGGAATCTCCATCTCTATTATATACTGAACAACATAATTTCTGACATGACAAATGAAAGCGTTAGTTTAAGTGACCAAGACTAGACTGAGTGCATATATTAATTTTGTTATTGTTGATGCCACATAAAGCCCTTATATACACACACCATTTTAAAAGACAATTTTTTTTCTATGATTTTTGTTAATGTTTTCTATTTTTTGGAAACTCCTTTTTTGCCCTCCCATTTGGAAAACTAGTGTGGGTTTTATTTTTTATAAGGAATATGAAATTTAAGTTGCATTGTTTATGACTCTTAAATGCTGCAACTTGTTGAGAGTTTTTATATTATATAGATGTATGAATATTAATCCCTTTGAATAGTTTCTTATTTGAATCTTATTAAATTATAAAAAAATGATTTTAAATCAAAATATGAAGATCTTTGACTTTGTTATTATGAGTCATGATTAATGATGTCCCCTTATAAAGCATACTGCCTTATAAGATCACTTCAAGAAGGCCACAATTAAAAGTAATTTATGCATAATGAATAAGATAAAACACTATCTACTTCACATTTTATTACACACAGAGGCTATGCAAAAGTTGTGCATCACTTGCAGCACACAAAATGATATGTTTCTTCACTCAGCAATGTGATTAATCATAAAATTAATCACTACTATTTGTTAAATGTAAATCTTGTGACATCATTAAGTTTAACATGAGCAAATTTCAAGGTATATATCATTTTAGCCCATCATTATTATTTCACGTCTGGAAAATACCAAACAAAACAAGCAATTCATAACAGGTGAAGGATCAAGGCAAATTACCCAAAAGGGTCTTGAGCAAGGTGAAGGCCATGCCTACAAATTTCTGCGACCAGCTTATCTCGATATTTGCCAATTGAATGATCAATGCAACGTTGCAATACACAACATCCATGTCGATGAGTAGCTATGTCAACACAAAACTTTGCAGCGGCATAAAAAATAAACTGTGGAACAGGATGAAGGAAGATGATAATAAATTAACTTAATCGGTCAATTGAATTAAAAAAGAGCTTGCAGAAGAGAAAAGAAAGACAATGGAACAAAGGCTGTGCGCAGGCAAGAAAATGCAAGCTCAACAATAGAGGTACAATTCTGGAAAATTTATGCATGGCATGTATGATATGAAACTGATGTAAGAGACAGCGGAGCCTCTCTGAAGGCTTGAAATACTAATTTACACAGTAAATGTCTGGGGAACCGTTGAACTGAATCAATAACTTGAACAAAAAAAGAATGAATCCTCGTACAGAAAATGTTCACAACAAACTACTTCCTTTCAATTGAATATAATTTTCCATTTATACATTTCCTTCAGATTCTATGCCGATCTATCTTTGTGCATATCATCACCATTGAACCCGTTTGAATGCCGTTTCTCTTTCATGTAGCATTCCAGAAAAAAAGATTGCATTCAAATTGAGGTGGAAATGGATTCTTAAACCTATTTTGAGAGGGTCTTAACAAGGTAGTTTCCTAGAAATATTCAGTTCCTGCAAGGCTGCAGCCATATTCATTTCAAACTCAAGAGTTCTGCATATTTTCTCCCTGTATTCGAGCAGTGAAGACTTCGGAGCTCACTGAGTATGGTTCCGCATGGTCACCTAAAAGCTCTAATCAAGACTTTTTTGAAATAGACCATGCCACTAATGTGATGGTTATAGAATTCAACAGGTGAACGGCTTGAGAAATAGAAAGCTCCTAATAATCTAGTTTTATTGGGCTAGCATATTGAACCAGTTGAAGCATGATATACAAGCACTCTGCGTGATTTAAGAAGTGCCTAAAAAAGGTTTTTTAAACAACGAACTTTTTTTCCCCCATTTATAACATCCTAAGCTAGGCAGTGTCAGGTTTAGGTTAACAATACAAAGGTCATGTGGCTCGACTATAGTACACCGAAGCAAAATTTTTGGGAAACGTTGCGTTGAGAATTCATTTGAAACGAATTTGATAAGGAATGCAGCTAACGACGCAGTTCATTTTTCCACTTTTACTCTGGATCCAAGGTTGCCATTCTGTCATCATACTGTTTACTCAGTACAAAGACCAAATAGTCATCCCCTTTCGATTGTGGAAGTAAAGCAGGCGAAAAAACAGATACTATATCAGAAGTGTAAGATTGACATTAAAAATTTTTAGTAAAATGATTGCAAGAGAGGCGTTTTACCTCATTATCTTGACAGCTAAGGCATTGCAAGCATCGTTGTATCACGTGATTTCCATTCAGATCCTTAACAAGATCAAGAAAACCTGCTTGAAGGGCTGACTTCACTAGTGAAATTTGTTTCCTAGAGTTGAGTGTCTCAATCAACTTCTGGATGACCCGCGTGCTGACGCAATGATATTTATTTAGAGGTCAAAAGTATATAACATGTGCTACATCCTATCTACAGAAAAAAGAAAGAAATTTGTAGTTAAAATGGAAGACATACCCATGCGTGTTTAAAGATATTCTGACGAGCTGCCCTGGTTCTTTAGTCACCATGGAAACAATCTGCAATTTCTCTTCTTCTCTGCACACGTCCAGCAACTTCTGCACAAGATAGTTACCAAAAGGGTCCATCATAAGTTCAACAACATTATCTATGATCCCCTCAAATACTATATGCATGTCCTTAGAGTTTCCCTTATCAACCATCCTTTGTAGGAAGCGACATCCGTTCTGATCCTTTGCCAGAAAGCAAATGTAACCTTGGCACTCAGCCAAGGAACAGAAACTCAGAAGTGAGGGCAGTGGGAAATCACCAACAAGACTTCCTTTGTTCGCACAAATTTGACTACCAGGGGTATAAGAATTGTGTTTAGAAACTTCCTCCCCCACAGTTGCAAATGCATTCTCATTGAGGGAATTCTTTTTGGTACCCCTCAAAGAATTGTATCCTTTGTCTGT